CCTGCAGCTGAAGATGATTCCTCGTTTCTCTCTTTTTTTTTTTTTTTTTCTTTTCTTCCCAAAAAGAAAGACAAACGAACGCACGGAGGATTTGAGCCGATGGAAGGAGTAAGGGCAGCGTTTAATACCCCCGGGTGCGAAGTCTGCGATTCAGGTAGATTCCATCGGGGTTTATTCGCACCGTGTAGGATCCATGAGAACATTCGAAATTCAACCAACAGACTTTCTACCTGCAGTACTCGATCTCGTGGCCGCGAAACGAGGAAGAGAGTTTGGAACCAGGTGGATTAAAAAGAAGAAAAAAAGAGAGAGAGAGAGAGAGAGAGATTCGAAAATGTGGAAAGGGCTTCGAGGACCCCCTCTGACCCAACAACGACCGATGACGTCTATCGAAATTACCCAACCCCTTACGCTTCGTCTCCACACTTTCTCGCTACTTTTACCACGGGACGATTCCGATATTAACGTTTAACGAGACGGATCGGTTGATGAAAAATGATTACGCAGATCGAGATTTGTGGGAAAATTCTTGGACGGTGGATAAAATCTCTTTTTTTTTTATACGAAGTTGGAAAAGTAAGAAAAAGGGGACGACACATTCACAGCGTTTAATTTAATCGAAGAAACGAGCGAAATAACTCTCTCGGCTCGATCGATATTTGAAAGGAAAGCCGTTTAAAAGGACGGAGGAAGAGACAAAAGCAAGGTAGGTTTGCGGTTGTGTGGGCGATAAAAAAAGAAGCGGGTTGAAACGATTTCGGTACACGTTTCAACGGTAAATGGATTTGCACGAGGGGGAGAGGATACTGCTCGGGAGGGAGGATCGCGGCGTTATGCTCGCATCCTCCGAGCCGGATCCTTAAATTGACTCGATTTTTAAGGGCCGAACCCGAGGCGGAGGTTGCGCCGCGGGGATCCCGTGTTTCTTCTCCCGTTCTCCCTTTCGTCTTTGCTCCACATCGTGCGGGCCGGCCGCCGATTGATAAAAATCAAGTGGCGAGAAAAAGGACGAGGGAAGTGGTGGGGATGAAATCGAAACGTCCGGCCGAGTAATTGCCGTAGTTAACGAGTCAAGAGAGAAGATTCATAAATTAAAAATTCCTCTCTCCAAGCGAAAACGCGAGTCTTTTACGCGCGTCCGTTGAAAAATTTGGAATTTTTTTTTTTCCTCCTCTCTTCGTCGAGGAATTGAATTTTTATTTTCATCTCTCTCCAACACCCTACATTATGGATATTATTAATTCGAGAAGGTGGTAATTACACGAATCGAAGGAACGATTTCGAGAGATTTCGAAATGCGGAACGAAGAACCGTGACGACGACGTTCGAATCGTTTTCACCCTTGCGAAGAACGAAAGCGAAAAATGGAGGGGTGAAAAAAAAAAAAAAAACTCGTCCATCCTCCGAACCCATTTTTACGAGATACTTAAGCCTTTAAATGGTTAGATCGAGAAAGCTGCCTCTTCGATTTCGAAGTTGGCCCGAGAGAAATCGGTTAACCCCCGGTCGACGTAGCCGAGGGTCGCGCGCAATTTTTCTCAGGGGTTAAATCGACCGTGGCCCCCAAAAATTCGCGTTTCTTTTTTTTTCCTCTCTCTATCTCCTCCACTCCACCAGTTCGCAGGTAGCTGCGACTACCTGCACACGCGCGCGCGTACGTACCCGGAAAAGAATCCGGGATGAGGGGGAAAAAGAAGAAAAAAATGGGTAGAAAAAAGGTGGAATAAAATAAAAGAGGAGGGGAGGGGAAACCTCGAGAGAGAAAAAAAGGGAGATTAGGCGAGAAAGATCGGAAGGGGGGAAGAAAAACACGTAGCTGCGCACGTCTCCCTCGTCTCCCTCGTCTTCCTCCTTTCCCCTCGCGCCACTTCTCTCGCGGGATAAGAAAAAAAAAGAAAAAAAAAAAAAAAAACAGGGTAAAAGTGAGTTAATAGTCGGTAAAACGGTATTCACCCCGTGACCCTGCCGGGTTACAGCCCCTCTCTCTCTCCTCTCCTTTAGGGCTGTAGTCTTTTCTCACTACAGCCCTTCCTCCACAGTTCCTCTTCCGGAAAAGGGTCGACGAGAAACGGGATACGACGGAGGGGTGGAAAGGGATCATCGTTCCTTCTCGTCCCGTAACCGAAGGGGGGATGGAAAATCGAGACACGAGGCACTCCTTTCGGAAGAGAAATCCGAGTAATCGTTCCGGGATACCTCCAGTCGAGTAGTATCGGAAGGGACTCGAGGGAATTTCTTTCTTTCCCTTCCTTCATTCTCGGATAGCAGCGTGAGAGAAAAATATCTATCGCGCAGATCTAATCGTTACTCACTTGATTCGATCACGGCATCGAAAAAGTTTGGAAAAAGTTTGGAAATTTATCGATCCTTCCGTTCGCGCGAATCCTTGCGAATTCTCCTCTAATTCTTCTTATTACCCCCTCCGTTCGAGGGGGGTAATAAATCGGTCGAGTTTCGGAGTTTCGGGTTTTCGAAGGAAAAAAAAAAAAAAAAGAAAAAAATCCTACGTCGATTGCCGAATTCCGATCGCCAGGATCGTTAAGATTTTTCACGGAATAAAGTTTTATCCGGGAAGATAAAAATGTCTCAATTCGCGGATCCAGGCTGTTGGCTGTTGGCTGGTTAGATCGGCAAGATACGGTTGCGGATCGAGGGCGGGATGGACGGAGGAGGGGCGGATAAACAGGGTCGTGGAATTTTATGCGACGCATTCCAGGAACGCGTGAAATCGTTTGCCGTTTCGATGGCTCGCGCGCGAAAAACGATCGTTGTCCACCGTGGTAATATCGCAATTAGCGATAAGTCCCCGGCCACGATCTTCTCTGTCGGGGCCAGGCCACTCCGTTTTACGAGGAATCGCGTCGTTATTCGTGATTTAGGTATTTGAAACGCGCCGGGACGTCGGATTACGAGTGGTCGCGGGGTCTCGGCTTTCTTGTTTCCTATTAGAATCGAATTTCGTGCGTATCGTCGGTGTAATGAAACACGCGACCGTTTATAGTGTTCCTCGCGTTACGCATGCCTAACGTGCATACGTGGAAATCGCGACACGGATTTCGCGTTCGACCAATGCGCGCACACCGTCTCGTCTCCGTTTCCCACGAGAGTCTTCGATTTACTGTTCACACGCTTTATTACCCGCGTTCGTTAACCCTTTCCATTCTCTTTACCCGTTTCGTATTTATTTTCTCCACTTTCGTTTCGCCGTATACCGGTATGACGCGCTATCTCTTCCAACTTTCTTAACCCGTTTTCCAGGATCGAATTATTTTTTATTAAGATTAAGAGAGATGGGATAGGACGTTGAAGATTCTTTCTTTTTTTTTTTTTTTCTTTTGGTAAAAGAATAGAAATATGAAATGGAAGTTTTTCTCGAGATCGGATTTAGGCTAGGTCTTAAAGGTGTTTATAAAGGGTTAATTTGCGTTAATAAAATACTCTGTGTAGTAGAGAGGAAAGATCCCAACGAGGAAAGAGGGAGTTAATTACAGGACACATTCCTCGTTTAACGGATTACATTCGACGATTAATCTTTTCCCTTTTTGCCCCTTTCTTTCGGAGACGAAGCGAATGCGAGAAGGGGTCGGCGGTCGAGAGAAGGAAAAAAGTTGAAAAAGCGTTAATGGTTCATTCGTTGGGTGTAGTACGTGTATAATGGAATAATTTCGCGGGATGGGAAAAAGGAAAATCGATTCGAGCATCGACACCTGTTGAGGGGGGGTTCAAGGTCGCGCGATAGAAGACCCTATCCATCAAACGGTGCACGGGGATCGCGATGGAAAAGTCGGCCTCCGAGTCGGCATCCCCCTCCCTTCCCCCCTCCCCTCCATAAATCGTCGATTCTCCA